TTTGTCCATTAATGTAGATTATTCATGTTTAAAAAACACATTTTTGGTGGATCAACACCTCTTTTAAATGATGCAAATGATGAAAACAAAATAAAGGAAAACAAAAAATAAAAAGAGTTATTGAGGTAAATCAAAACAATAATAAAAATGAAAAATCCTACCCCACATGATATCTACCCCACATGCTTTAATTCCTACCCGGACATGATCTCTATCCCGCATGCTAATTTGAAACAAATCCTAACCGCATATTTGTCTAGTTCACATGCTTTTAACAGAAAATAAAACAGGAAACAAAGCAGTCTAGGGTTTGGAAAGAGGTCTTGAGGTGGGCTTTAATTCCCTGTACTCTCCCGGTTTAGGTTCTAAAAAGGTACTCGAGTTCTCCTTGCTGGTGCCCCCTTGGGCTTGCCAAACCCTTAGTCCTAAGCCCATTACAAGCTTGTGTGGACTAAGTTAAACTCGAGAGGAAACATTCCCTTATGCCCGCACGGTGAATAAATTCACACGAAGACATAAGGTATATGAATCCCGAAGGCTACTTGCTAGGCCCGCACGGTGAATAAATTCACACGAAGACGTCATTTTTACTCCCACTTAAATAGGGTTCGGAGCTCGGGTATAGAGCTAAAGATGACAATTTTGAAAATTCTGAAATCATTAAAAAACGTTAGTATAATTATTTACTTGAAAAATAATCAAAGATAAATAATTAGAATCGAATAAATAAATTTAAATTTATAATTTTCGCTAAAAAATGTCTAAATGCATTATGCATGATGCATGAAATGTCCGAGACATTGATCCAAAAATGTGCCTGTTATTCTGAATAACCCTTATTGGTGACAAAAGTGTTACGTCTGAAGAGACAGAAAACTTTTTGATGGTATAGATCCTGCACAGCTTCTGACAAGTTGATTTGCCTTCCATCTTTTTTCCCCGGTTGAATATCCTGTCGAACCATTCTGGTTCCTTTGGCTAAACTTGTGCAGGTGACAAGCTGCTTGCCCCAAAAAAGGTCTCGAATTACTGCATCTCCGGCTTTCACTCTATGTCGAGCTTGTTCCAAACGAAAGTGCCATCGGAGCCCTCCATCCGAAGTTTATCGACTTGTTTCTAGAATTTATCAATAATGGTCTCCAGCTTAGCTAGGGTTTCACCATCTTGTTCTCGTAGTTTTTGAAAGGACTCTCCGGGTCAATAACATTTTCCTCGTCTTGCCCCTGCAACCTTTGCCTCTGAGTATTTTTTGGCCACGGTTGGGCTTCTGAGCTTTTTATCTCTTTGTATTATAACCCCTTTGTCCATTAATGTAGATTATTCATGTTTAACAAACACATTTTTGGTGGATCAACACCTCTTTTAAATGATGCAAATTATGAAAACAAAATAAAAGAAAACAAAAATAAAAAGGGTTAGTGAGGTAAATCTAAACAATAATAAAAATGAAAAATCCTACCCCACATGATATCTACCCCACATGCTTTAATTCCTACTCGGACATGATCTCTATCCCGCATGCTAATTTCAAACAAATCTTAACCGCATATTTGTCTAGTTCGCATGCTTTGAACAGAAAATAAAACAGGAAACAAAGCAGTCTAGGGTTTGTAATGAGGTCTTGGGGTGGGCTCTAATTCCCTGTACTCTTCCGGTTTATGTTCTAAAAAGGTACTCGAGTTCTCCTTGATGGTGCCCCTTGGGCTTGCCAAACCCTTAGTCCTAAGCCCATTACAAGCTTGTGTGGACTAAGTTAAACTCGAGAGGAAACATTCCCTTATGCCCGCACGGTGAATAAATTCACACGAAGACATAAGGTATATGAATCCCGAAGGCTACTTGCTAGGCCCGCACGGTGAATAAATTCACACGAAGGTGTCATTTTCACCCCTACTTAAATAGGGTTCGGAGCTCGGGTATAGAGCTAAAGATGACAATTTTGAAAATTCTGAAATCATTAAAAAACGTTAGTACAACTATTTACTTGTAAAAAAAATCAAAGATAAATAATTAGAATCGAATAAATAAATTTAAATTTATAACTTTCGCTAAAAAAGACAACCGAAAATTAATTTCGGCCTGACTCACTTACCTGTCCCCAGCAGAGTCGCCAAGCTGTCGTGACCGTCTTTCGGTTGAGCCCCGGAATTGGGCTTCGACTTGGATTAAATGGTTAGAGTCACCACCGACCATTTTAAAACAACTTTAGGTAGGTCGGACACCATCATACCTGATATGCGTTGTACCATAAACGTGTCGGGTTTAGGAGTCAATTACGGTCAATGAAGGATTAGTACCCTTGAACCGCCTTTTCGGTACCAATTAATTTTCCGGTTGTCCTTAATTGTGAAAATTAAAAAATTGAAATTTAAAAACCCGAGCTGAATTGCTTACCTTTGATCAGTTGAAAAAAAGTTTAAAATGTTAGAGAAAATAAATAAATAAATAAATAAATAAATACTAATAAATCAAATGAAAGAAAATTAAAATTTAAAAAAATATAAAATAAATAAATAAACAAAGAGAGACAAAGAGAAACAAATCAAATGAAAACTAAGATAAAAAATAAATAATGAAAAAAAATAAAATAATAAAAAATAAATTTTTTAAATAAACCAAAGAGTATAAGATAACATAAAATAAAAATTTAATAAGAAGTAAATAATAATAATAATAAATATATATATAAATAATAAAAAAAACATAAAATAAGAAAGATGTAATAAATAAATAGAAAATATATTTGTACAAAAGAAATCAAAGAAATATAATAAAAACTAAAATAATAAATCAAATTAAAAAGAAAACAAATATATTTATATATATATGAATCAAAGAAAAAAGATATTAAATTAAAATAATAATAACAAAATAATAAAAAAATGAAATATGAAAAAACAATAATATAATAATAATAGCAATAAGATATGTAGAAGTGACTAAATTGAAATAAAATAATAATAGAGGGTTGAATTTAAAGAAGAGAAAATTGATTTGGGGCCAGATATAAACATGTAAAACAAAGGGGACCAAAATACAGTTTACCCATAAATTAGTGACCAGAATTTAAATAGATGCCTAAAGTTTTAGGAATTATGGATAATTAACCCATGACTTGATGACTTAAATGCAAAACACGCTAAAGGTATGAGGACCTTTTGCGTGATTTGCCAAAAATTAAAATAGGAAAACTCATCCCTTCCCCAATTCCAATATGCTCGCAACCTCATACCCATTCACTCTTCTCCTCCATTGGCTCATCATCCAAATGCAGTTGGCTCCCTACGAACCGAAGCAGCCTTCATCACCTCAGTTGAGAACCCAAACAACGAAGCCACAACAAGGTAATACCCAACATTTATTTATTTATTATTTCTTAAGCCTATAACTTGCGTGAACTTAAGAACAAAATTTCCGTTACACTAAGGATTTAACAAATATATAAAGAAAGCGAACGAAAAAGAAAGCTGGAATACCTTTGGTTTTGGTTGAAACAATTTCAGTTCCTTCTTGTTTTTATTGTTGATAAATGTGTTTCGATTGAAAGAAATTTCTCTCTATTTTTCGCTTCCCCCTTCTTTACATATTGATTTTACACTTATTTATAGCAAAAATGAAAGCCTATTCCGTGCGGTTTTAAATTTCTAATGAGATTAAAACCCTTTTCTTTGTCTTTGGTTGAAACAATTTCAGTTCCTTCTTGTTTTTATTATTGATAAATGTGTTTCGATTGAAAGAAATTTCTCTCTATTTTTCGCTTCCCCCTTCTTTACATATTGATTTTATACTTATTTATAGCAAAAATGAAAGTATATTCCGTGCGGTTTTAGAGTTCTAATGAGATTAAAACTCTTTGCTTTGTCTTTGGTCTTCATGTGGTCTGCAAACACCGAGCAAAACAGAGGGCGTTGCCACCGGAATCGGGGCTCTCCAAGAATCGTGCGGGGTTGACTATGTTGAGGGCTTGCAGCGCCAAGAGAGATGCGGGTGAACTAGGGTTTTTCACCTTTGGGTGGTTCGGGTCCTGAACGGGTCGGGCCTGGACCGGTTCAGGTAACTCCACTGGATCCAGGCTTTTGAGTTTGCAGACATTGGGCCTCTAGTTGGTCCTGTAAATGAAGAGAACATGTAATAAATATAGATACATATACATGTATTATACTATAAAATAATATTATAAGTATAAACAGACGAAAATTAGTGTCTACAACCTCATTTGATGGAAAGTTGAAGTCATGGGGGATTCAAATTCCCTTTGAAAACTTGAACCAAACATGGGAAAATGATCGAATTGGATTCCAATTCCCCCTAATTCCAATGGATTCATGCGAACCAAACGTCACCTTATATAATAGTAATAAATTTATACAATTTAAACAATCGTCAAACTTACATAATTTTATTCCTTTCCAGGTTCTGTATTATCTTACAAATTTACTCCCAATATTGCTTTTCATCCGCTTTAGTTGCACTCACCAAGCCTTCGTCGGAGCAGTTAAAATATTCTTAATGGGGCCGTCGGAATCCACAATAAGCGTTCAGAAAAGTCTGACACACTGTTGGAGTTTGTAGTATGCTAACGTGTGCATGGAGTGTAGCCTGCTGAAGGGTGTGTGAGTTGTTAGGGTTGTTAAGAGTAACGTATGGAAAGTTGGTTATGAATGCCGTTAGAGGTTAGAGTTAGTTGTGAGGTTGAAGTCAATAAGATTTCAATATAAGCTAGTGACGTATTTGCAAAAAAAATAAAAACAGTTTATTCAATCTTCATCTTTTCAAATTTCAACACACACCAAACCTGATCGGATTGTGACGTCATCTTCGATGTGAACGCAAACCATTGTCCTCTCCTCTCCCTTTCAAATATTCTATAAGATCTCTTTCGTATCTCATCATGCCATGATATAATTATTCTCTTAAGTCCTGTTACGCTAACGTAAAAGGTCCACCCTTTTCCTATATATAGATCGAATTACTACTGCCTCGGGAATATTCGGCGAGAGATGGAGGGGAAAAAGAGGGAGTCGGAGGTGCAAGACACCATACCGGGAGGATCTTTGAAGAGGGAGAGAGAGGAGGAGACGACCGTGACGGAGGAGGAGGTGGAGGAATTCTTCGCTATCCTTGGCCGAATACACGTGGCGGTAGATTATTTCAAGAAGCGTGACGGCAACTTACGAGACTTGACTGATTTGCGAAAAGGGGAGTCGTTTAGTTTGGGAGGGAACGCCCAGGGAAACGGCGGCGGGAAGAAGGCGAAAAACATGGAGGAGAATGTGGGTTTGGATTTGAATGCTGATCCGGATACGAGTTCAGACCCGGTTTAATCATTCGTCACAGGTTCCCAAGCTACATTGTTATTGTCAGTGTTACCATCTTTTGTTTCTGAAACTGGGAAGATTGCTGGAAGAAGAAAGAAATACAAGAAAATGATAATGCAGAGTGATCTCTATTATACAATTATAGCTCATTAGTGCATTAATGTATTACATATTAACTGATATTAGCAAAATAAAATTCATTGTCAGATGCATCATTTTTCTAAAATTCATGTGGATCCAACAATTTTAAACACGTGATTTCAAAAAATATGTTCTCTTAATTACAAAACAAAATGTTTTGTTATTTATGAACAATCAATTTAGATCTCTATATGGTTGTTGAGGGTATGGTCAAGTTATTGTGTTTTTTATATATATATTTCTTATCTATTTTTTATGACGCTTCTCTTGATACAATTTTTGACCTTATTAATCAGAATAAAAGAAATTAAAGTATGATTCTTCCTTTACCTTTGTTTTTTTTATCTTTACTTACCAATGCAGGTTATGTAGCATGGTGTAGATACATCATCTTCACAACGTGTATTGTCCAACTCGTTATCTTCCTTTTTCTTTATGTCCAATTTTCCCTTCTTTTTCAAACCTTGAGCTTAATTCCCATGGAACACTTAAACCAATTTGGTACGTGTATGTTTAATAGCATTGAAAATCTTCTCGTAGGAAACTTCAATATTCCTAGTAAATGTTCTACGCTTACTTTTTCTTTTCTATTCTACCGACTATATTTGTGCTAACGAAACCTTTTTTTTATATGTAGCAACCATTGTTTGGAAAATCGGACCGGACCGGTCGGTTCAACCGAGAACCGTTGCCTAGTCCGGTTCAATCTAGACCGGTTAAACAGCTACTAGTGAACCGGCCAGAACCGCTGAACCGTTCAAACCGGACCGGCTGAAAACCGGAAAAACCGGGAAAACCGGAAAACCCGCCAATTTTGTTTTTTTTTAAAAAAAAAACCAAACGACGTCGTTTGTTAAACGAGCCAAGTCGAACTCGAGTATTGCTGAGCTCGACTCGAACTTGAAAAATTTAAAAGTAAGTTCAACTCGATTCAAACTCACGAGCTAAAATTATGAAGTTTAACTCGAACTCGAAATATAATATTGAAACTTGAACTCGTAAAGGCTTGAACTCAAAAAAAATTTAGAAGTTCGATTGAAGCCTAAAATTCGAGCTTGATTGAAGTGAAAGAATAATTAACTCAATGCTTACCAAAAGGCTCAATGATTTTGAATGTCAAATTACCTCTATTATTTATAGAAGTTAGTTGAGATGATCTTCTATGTTTCTTAGCCATGTGAGATTGTTTTTAAAAAAAAATTAAACCAAACAATATCATTTTGTTATGATTTTTTAGCCCCAAATTTTTTTAAATTATAATTATATAATTATATTTATTATTTAATATGTTTTACCTTAAAAATTATGTTGTAGTTAATTTGAATCATTTTGTTTCACTTGATTTTATGGTTTTTAACTTATATATATGTTATGACTTGCTTTGAAAATGAATTGTGATATAAAAAATTATTTTTTATTAAATATTTTTGATATTTTTATTTAATTTTTTAAGTAATTATGACGTCGTCCGATTCTTCCGATCGGTTCAACCGGTTGAACCAGTGAATCGATAGCATGACCGATTCGCTAATCGGTCTGGTTCTGAAAACTATAGTAGCAACGCTTTACACTTTGGCATCTATTCTACCGCTTTAAAGTCGTACTCTCAATTTCAAAAGTCCATAACTTTAAAAACGTGATTGTTTTCTCAAACATTTAAATATATTAAACCTGGTATTAAGAGACGGAATCAGAATCAGATATTAATAGGGGTCGAAATATTAGATTATTTAAGAAAAATAAAATGAGTTATTAAGTATTAATACTCAAAATTCAACACGAATCAATCGACCTTAATGATTAAGGAATTGTTGTCATCGTTGAAGTCACGAGTTTGAGCATTGTATATGAAAGGAAATTAACGTTCATTGTCAGATGGTTGAGAGTCTTTGTACAAATAGTTCATTGTGTTCACCCCATATTTATTTATATATATATATATATATATATATATATATATATAAAAACTGAAAATTCACAAGACAACATCTAATTTGTCTAATATTTAAACTTACAATGATTTAAATTGTTGTTGAACTAAATATTTAAGAACATGGGGTTATCATTTTTTAGTTTGACCCCTACTAGATTAAATATTTAATAAATTCTTATACTTTTTAATTTAAATATTTATTTTTACATGAACCTAAATAATATTATACCAAAATTATATCAAATATGCTAAACTTTTAACATGAGGGGCCCAAACACAGCTCCACCCCTACTTGTATCTCTTTTTTATTATTATTATTATGAGTAAGTGAAAGTCTATCTATTCGATGACAATTTTTAATCATTTGACGTTAAACGTTCGTATTCTTAACATTCATAGTATTTAAACCAAAACCTAAAAAATAATTATTTACCACATAAATCACTTTGTTGGTGTAATCTCGTATCTCTTCTATAATAGTAATAAATTTATACAAATTAAACAACCGTCAAACCATAGTTTTATTCCTTTCAAGGTTCTCTATTGTCGTACAAATTTAATCCCAATATTGCTCTTCATCTGCTTTAGTTGCACTCACCAAGCTTTCGTCGGAGCAGTTAAAGTCTTCTTAATGGGGCTGTCGGAATCCACAATCAGCGTTCAGAAAAGTCTGACACACCAAACCTTATCGGATTGTGACGTCATCTTCGATGTGAATGCAAACCATTGTCCTCTCCTCTCCCTTTCAAATATTCTATAAGATCTCTTGCGTATCTCATCATGCCATGATATAATTATTCTCTTAAGTCCTGTTACGCTAACGTAAAAGGTCCACCCTTTTCCTATATATAGATCGAATTACTACTCCCTCGGGAATATTCGGCGAGAGATGGAGGGGGAAAAGAGGAAGTCGGAGGGGAAAGACACCGTACCGAGAGAATCTCTGAAGAGGGAGAGAGAGGAGGAGACGACCTTGACGGAGGAGGAGGTGGAGGAATTCTTCGCTATCCTTGGCCGAATACACGTGGCGGTAGATTATTTCAAGAAGCGTGACGGCAACTTACGAGACTTGACGGATTTGCGAAAGGGGGAGTCGTTTAGTTTGGGAGGGAACGCCCAGGGAAACGGCGGCGGGAAGAAGGCGAAAAAAATGGAGGAGAATGTGGGTTTGGATTTGAATGCTGATCAAGATACGAGTTCAGACCCGGTTTATTCATTCGTCACAGGTTCCTAAGCTACATTGTTATCGTCACTATTACCATCTTTTGTTTCTGAAACTGGGAGGATTGCTGGAAGAAGAAAGAAATACAAGAAAATGATAATGAAGAGTGATCTCTATTATACAATTATAGCTCATTAGTGCATTAATGTATTACGTATTAACTGATATTAGCAAAATAAAATTCATTGTCAGATGCATCATTTTTCTAAAATTTATGTGGATCCAACAATTTTAAACACGTGATTTTAAAAAGGTTGGCGACACCGAGGCATTCCCGGTGGAAATCGGACTCCACCAGGGGTCGGCTCTTAGCCCTTACATCTTCGCCTTGATCATGGACGACATCTATTGTGCGACACCAGACGGTGTACCATGGTGTATGCTTTTCGCTGACGACATTGTCTTAGTTGCTGAAACAAAATCTGAGTTGAATAGTAGACTGGCTACCTGGAAGACTGCTTTGGAAGAAAAAGGTTTAAGGATCAATATTGAAAAGACAGAGTATTTATGTTCAAACTTCAATGGGAACCAAAACGATGAAGATGTAGAAGTATGCATAGAAGGACACGTTCTCCCCTCAAAGGATTGTTTCAAGTACCTAGGGTCTATGATACATAAAGATGGGGGTGTAGATGATGACGTTACACACCGTATAAAGGCGGGATGGCTAAAGTGGAGGGCCGCTACTGGAGTTCTGTGTGACAAGAAGGTTCCTCTAAAACTTAAGGGAAAATTTTATAGAATGGCAATAAGACCAGCGCTGTTGTATGGATCAGAATGTTGGGCAACCAAGAAGGATCACGTAAGGAGGATTGAGGCCGCAGAAATGAGAATGCTTCGATGGACATGTGGTAAGACTCTGAGGGATATGACGACAAACTCTGCTATTAGGATGTCCTTGGGGGTGGTGTCTGTTTCCGAAAATTGAGGGAGGGAAGACTACGGTGGTTTGGGCATGTCCTTAGGCGACTACCGTCGGATGCGGTAAGGAGGGTAGAGTCGATTACAGTCGACGGTGCCAGAAGGAAAGGACGACCAAGGCGAAAGTGGGAAGACTGCTTGAGATCTGATTTGAGGGATTTAGCCCTTACCGAAGACATGACCTCTGATAGGAAAATATGGAGGCTAAAGACTAGGGTAGTCGAGTAGTGTGGGTCACATCTATAGGGTGTATCATCTCTGTCTTCTTTTAATGTCTTTGTAGTATTTTCCATGACTTATACTTTTTATACGTTTCTGTTATTGGTATTTATGAAGGATTAGAACTGGGCTTGCTAACGTTGACTTCTGTGTATCATTCTCTTCATGTTTCCTCTTTTAAATTTAGCCGGATCTTATCTTATGTTTATGTCTATATGCAGAGATTCTTTCGCAGGGATAATTATGCAGGGATTAATTCCTGTTACAGACGCACATATGATTTTAATGACTGCATATGAATACTGTTTAGCTATGTATTTATGTATTTATTTATACATGCATTGCATTTTATCTAAATTTTTAATTTTCTGACTGCCGGAGGTCTTCCACGGAAGTTACTCTCAACCTGGCGTTGGGGGTAGCCTACTACCCTACCTCCCCCCTTACCCCATACATATGGGAATTGGGTTTTTGTTGTTGTTGTTGTTGTTGTGATTTTAAAAATATGTTCTCTTAATTATCCATTTTTTTTAATAAACTTAATTAACCACTTTAAGTGTGCGAAAATAGGGAATTTCCATTGCGTCAAAAACTCTCGACGACACTAGTACGGCGCTTTCAAATGGTAA